AGCATTTGGGATGGGACGGGGGGAAGAGGAATGGTGCCCAACCACTTGGACGGTCGGGGATTGAAAACCTGAATACCAGCAGGAAGTGAGACCGTCGCTCTACCGTCCAGCCCAAGTGGTTGGACGGTCAGAGAGGGAGACAGTGTGTCAGCGGGCGGCACTCCGTGGGTGGCGGGCGAGGTGAGGCCCCGCACCCCACCTGCCGCCCCTCACCTTGATGAAGACATTACACCAGGTAAGGCGAGGGAGGGCCGGGGGGAGGGAGGGAGACACCCCCCCACACCCTCGCGGCTCTCTATTCAGATGCGTATATCTTAATACCATAATATGTGCTTAGCGTATCATAACGTATACACTGTATTGCACACACACACCCGAGTACGAACACATTGATGTTACCTTCATAGTTGTGTGGAAGGCCACACGTGTTGTTTGGGGAGTGCCCCCTAGCATTTCCTCCCCCCGCCCCCTGCTCTATTACCACCCATTTCTCCCCCCCCCCTCCTCTATCCCTCTATCAACCCCCCTCTCCCCTCCCATTCCAGTCCTGCCCACTGTGATGAAGACATTATCTCAGCCCACCACCGATGACGCGCTCGTAGTGGGGGTGGGGGGTTGCTGAGGAGGGGCGGGGCGGGGGGAGTTGGGGTAAGGTTGGGGGGGTTAGTAGGGGAGGGGGTGTAGGTGGAGCCAGGCCCACCACCCCCACCTGGTGGAGGTGGTTGGGGGAGGAAGGTGTTAAGAAGTCATGGTGGTTGCTAACTATTATATTTCCGACACCTTATATAATGGTTTGGATCATTTTGTGTGTGTGTGTGTGTGTGTGTGTGTGGGGCATTAAGTTTTACTCAATACCAAACTTTTTATGTATTCTTGAAACTGTTTATTCGCTATATTGTTACGAGTGCTTAAAGGTCAGAGCTTTAGCTGTTGGGTCTCGACTCTAATATGTGTCTGTGGAGGTGGCGGCAAGATGGGGGGTTGGGAAGGAGGGGGATTTTAATGGTAGTGGCAATGGGAAGTAATGGGTGGAAGAGGAGGGATGCTAGGGGGGGAAGGGAGGGGGGGGAGGGGTGCTAAAAGGAAGGGGGTGTGTGTGAATGGCGGTTAGCCGCAAGCGGTGGGTGAGGAAGCTGCGGCAACTGGACCACCAGCAACAAGTTGGGTAACGCAGGCGGAAATGCAAGTCCGCAGCCGCAGTTACACTCTCGTCTCACTTGGTGTTAACGGGGGTGGGGGGGGGGGCGCCTCTCACTTGGTGTTAAGGGGGGAGGACAGCATCTGCCATCACTCTGGTATCACAGACAGACAGACTCTGGTATAGCTGCATCACGGCGCGCTATGAACCATCCCGGGTGGGGAACTGATTCTGGTATCACTGCGTATACGGAGGTTCGGATACCACCGCGCGGTATCCGAAGGGGGTTACCTTCGACTACGAAAACGGGTTCGGTTTCGTTGTGGTTTTGGTAACACGTCCATCTTACTTAAATTATATTAACCAGGCCACTGACTTGAACTGGCCGGTTGAGCGATAGCGTCTTGCTGGTCGGTGTTCAATCCCCGATTATCCAAATTGTAGGACAGTGTCTTCACCTTATCCTTATATCCCAGCGTCAGTCCTCTCCTTGTATTCTCTCTCTCATATTCCTTCCAAGTGCTGTATAGTCATATTGCTCAGCGCTGCTGATAATTACCTTGTATATTCGTGTAGTGAGTTTGGTAACAATGTCTCTTTTTATTTGTTGTCCACAACGGTATTGTTATGGATACGGTTTTGATAACGCTGTCTGGCAACACTACCTGACCATTTAGGGACAAAACTGAATTAAATTGCAAACAACACAAGCTGAAGAGTTTGGTAAATGTTAATTTACATGTATTAGATATTCTGTTCACGTGAGACCGTTAAGCAAGTCCCAGCCGAGTCTGGGTACAAGTGACGGAAAACAGTGCTGGGGCCAGATTCATGGAAAGCACTTACGCAAGCACTTACGAACGTGTATATCTTTCCTCAATCTTTGACGGCTTTGGTTACATTTATTAAACAGTTTACAAGCAACTGCCCAATCAACTGTTGTTATTGTTATAAACAGCCTCCTGGTGCTTCGGAGCTCATTAACTGTTTAATAATTGGAAACAAAGCCGCCAAAGATTGAGAAAAGATGTACAGGTTCGTAAGTGCTTGCGTAACTGCTTTCGTGAATCTGGCCCCTGGTTTTCTTCGTATTGAGAGATGTTGTACATGTTGCTATAGAGAAGCATTTACTCATAGGATGAATGGTGCTGCCTCATACTGTCCCTATGGCGTTATGTTTACCCAAAAGATGAGGGACTTTATCCAGCATACAGCTCCATCCAATTTTGTTAATACTGTTCCTACAATCTTAATTGGTGGGGTAAATGCTATTCACAATTCATCAATAGCTATGGTGAGGGTTGATGGCACTTCTCAGTGCATATGGTCATGCTCAAGTTATCAGTAAGAATCAGTCAACGCAAATATGTATGAAGGAGAGGTGATAGGTGTGTTGGCTTTAACCTGTCATACACGACTCACGAGACTGATATTATGGATGACTTAATGTCTGACCATTTAGCAATAACAGCCAACATACATGTGTATAATGTCTTACCTAACACTAAGCTCGCAACACGTAAGCTAACACCAAGAGCAAAAAAAATTGTGTTCATAAACTACATTGATAAAAAAAAACATTGAAAACTGGTAAAAAAAAATTGTGAGTCTGAAAATGTACAACATTTTTGTACATTTTTGATGGCCTCATAAATCAAATTTATGAGGGCCATCAAAATTAGTCATACCAAAAAGAACAAAATTCCCTCAAGGAAGTTAAGACAGAACAAGTACTATGATGATCATAAACTGGAAGACCTTAAACTAATTACTAGACAAACAGGTAAAGCTTATAATAATTTATAAGAATTATAAATTCTAAGAATTAGAAGAATTAAATTCTAAGAAATTATAAGAATTTAAAGCTTATAAAAAACCTTAAATATTGACAATTAGTTCAGACCACACACACACACACACAAACACACACACAAATAAGAAGTTCTTAATTCTTCAGCACGAGATGACATCAAGAACCTCAAAGAGACAAATGAGGTTTTACAGAACGCTCAGTAATCATAATGCTGGAGTGAAGGAGCTGATCAACAGTGTGAGACATCTGGTACAGACTTGGGAGACTTCTGGATGTCATTTCTGGAGATGTCAGACCATCTTGTTCAAAATATTGATATCATGTCATGGTAGTAGAATGTTAGATTGTTCCAGAACACCAATCATCAACATATGACATGTTGCCAGGACAGATGGCTTATGACAATTATGAATATGGAATATGGTTGCCAGATAATTAGATGATGCCTGTTTGTTATCCTTCAACAACAACAGCACTTTGCTAGACGCAATTTGCATATGATGAAAACAGGAAGGTCATTTAAAGTGTCTATGCACAACAAACACATAAGTGGCTTCAAACCACAAGTCCATATTTTTGTCTCGCCTCTCATCTTAGGCCATAAGAGCCTCGCAAGCCGCCCTGTCAAGCATCTGAACTCCCCCACACACTGTCAGTACACCGGCCAATAGGTGGATGATAAGAGCAAGATAGATATGGAACACAAACATGGCAACACCGTCCACTGCCAACCCTGCTGCTTATGGTGGACAAAATGTCTGATGATAATCATGCACGGACTACCATTGGTGAGTGTCACTGATATTGAACACAATTTAGTAAAGTACATCCGAAGCATGCTGGGTGGTGCATCATAGCGTGGTATGCAATTGTGTAATATGAAGAATGGTGCTGATTTACGACTCAGAGATATGAGAGTAACCGCTGGTGATCAGTTATACATTTGACCAAGCAAAGTGGAACATATGCCGTATATTTTTCATTTAAATTTTCCACTTGTTTGGCTTATAGCAGATAGTTAAATTGTGTCTTCTGCTACCATTGTGAGAGTCAGCAAGGGCAGTCCGTGCATGATAATCATCAGTTGTTGTGTACACTTACACAGGAGGTCAGCTGTACTTGGTGTTGCTGTATTAATGTTCTCTCTCCGTCATGTTCTTTATCTGTGGTGCCATCTCCCTCCCCCTACCTCCTCCCTACCTTGAGCCTCGTCCCAGCCCACCCCCCTACCTATATCCTCGTCCCAGCCCACCTCCCCCTACCTTCATCCTCGTCCCAGCCCACCTCCCCTTACCTTGAGCCTCGTCACAGCCCCACCCTCTCCGCCTCTACCTTTAAACCTTCCCAACTTTACCGAGCTCAGAATACAAACGCGTGAACATATTCGCTTTAGTAATATATACAATCACCTCACCACCTGACCACGCGGAGTATACTGTATACATCTACACGTGTACCCCATTTCTCGGTATATATACACACCTTAGTCCTGGACTATCTTCAGGACCCAAGTATTCCTGCTTGTCATACAGGTATGACCAAACATCCTGCGAAATGGGGGATTTCCTAGCATTGCATAGCCAGCTGTTGACACTAAGCAACCCTTCATATAGTGTAAGGTAGCTCCATAAATGAAGATGTCTAATTATGATAAGATTCTTGCTGGTTAGTCAGTGAGAACTTGTGGTGGCCTTAATACGAGGCAGGTTAGTCACACCCACCTGGGTATCATAATCTTTGGATCACAAGTTTTCTCCTTGTGCTGTGTGGTTACAGTGAGGTCTGTCATGTCCTCCCCTGTAAGCCAGAGTACCATCCAGGTCTCGTGAGAAGACTCCGCCCCAGGTTAAAATTTATTAGGTATAGGCCTAGGAGACGAGAGGTGGAGCCAGGACTCCTAGGATAGAGGTGGAGCCAGGACTCCACCTTGAAGGATGGAGAGCAAAAGATTATCATTGAAATGGGATTGCATAGGGATTGAGGAGAGGGAATTTTCTGTTGTGGGGGACGGACTCTTAAGTTACCCCAAGGTTTAAAGTAAACACAAGCTGTCTGAATAATACAATAGATTCTTATAAAACATATTAATATATAAGTATATCACATTGAGCACTCACCGCTTTAATAAAAAATAATGTAACATAAAAACAAAATTTATCATTATTTATGAGTAATGAAACAAATTATAGACATTATGATGACTAGTTAGTACGACAACAAATCAATCTTTTGGAATAAAAGAAAATAGGGTGTTGCCATGTGAGAGAAGATGGGAAGTTGGATATGGAAAGAAGAGTAATCGAGACAGAAGCAATGTTAATGGAGGTAAACTGTTGGTGAGTGACGGGGAGGAGAATGGTGCATCGGCGATTGAATGTGTTTATGAATACCGTACAAAGATATTTAGATAAAGATCAGCACAAGGAAAATGGGAGTAAACAGAGGACATATAAATTGTTGGAGATTTTAACAAATAATCGGAATATGACATCCGTAAACACAAAGGTATGTTGACATTAAACAAAATTCACATTTTCATACAAATAGAAAACAAAATATTTTTAAATGGAAACTCAAATTGTCTATGCTTGAACTAAAATTTTGATTAGGATCATAATTAGTTAAACAACTTAAAAGAGCCTTAGACAGAAACTTTGCTACATTGGTGCCTTTTGATAATTATTTAAAAGACAAAAACTTGACACGTAAATTGTAATTATCACCAATAGTCCTCCTCAAACTCGCAAACGATGCGTCACTGGCGATTTTCCGACAGTGGATTCTAGTGTTGATTGTAAGGCCTATCAACCGCGGGAGGATTATTAAGGCCACCAATCACGGCTGATAGGCAATGATCCTGGAACATTTTACAGTGGCAGAATCTCTTAAGTATAGTAACTTAAGACAACGTATTCTACTTTGAGGAGTTCACAAAGTGTTCAACAAAGATTTGATTAAACAAAGATTAAATTTAAATCTTGATTAAACAAGATTTGAGTAACAAAGATTTAGATAATTGTTCAGGTAAAAGGAATAGAATTTATGAAAATAAAACCAATGTTCTTTGTTATGTAAAGTCAAGAATGTGTGAAGAGATTAGGCAATACAGTGGCTGAAAGTTTGAACGCTGATATGTAAGAATAGTAACTAAGATCAAACTTTTTCAAACTCTTCCCAAAAGTATGAGCTGGATATAAATGCATTTCCCCGTAAAATCAAAATTATATGTTCTTCCATTACAATTATTATTGCCTAAACTTACAGGGAAATCACTGTGAAATAATATAAAGTATCTTGTGTTTCAGGACTTAAAATTAAGGAAATACTTGTTGAGATGTTTGGTGTGTGGGGTAAACTCAGCTCATAAGTTAGGACAGAATTTAAAAATACGACGGTGATGTGGGTTGCCGGAATTTTGAGTTGGCAAAGAATATATGAATGAAGGTATATGAATGCAGGACCCACGGGTGTGATTGCAGGGCCCAACGGTGTGAATGCAGGGTCCGCATGTGTCAAGCAGGGCCCACGGGTGGGAATGCAGGGCTCACGGGAGTGAGTAAAGAAGTGTATGTTGCCTGTACACACACAGATGTATTTTAGTGTGCTTGTGAACGCCTGCATGAGTGTGTGTATATCTGTATAAATGTGAATACAGATGGATGGATATACTTGAGTGACAATAACTTTACAATGACGCTGCTGTTTAGGTATATACAGTATATCAGTTGCGCACGCGCGTGTGTGTGTAACATTATATTAACTAGTGAGTGATACGGGTGAAGTCAGCATGTGCTCGGACGTCAAGGACTAGATTGCACCTTCAAGACAACATGACACCAACTACTGTATGTGTGTTCGCCTTTACACAACCTCCAAACACGTCACGTTTCATTCAACATTCCCTACTTCCTATGCTCCTTGGCTATCCTAAAATCTCCCTGAGGAATCTTAAAGATTCTCAGACATATTATAACCCCCCCCCCGTCCCATCCCAAATCCTGATCACTTCCCAGTGCTATATAGTCGTGATGGCGCTGTGTCCTGATAGTTCCCTTCCCTTCAATGGTGCTAAATTCTTGGGTATTTTGGCAGTCCCGGGTATACTGGATCAACTTCCTCGCACTTTTAAGATTTCTTTGACTCTTACAGTCTCCCTTTCCCAATCATGGGTTTCTCATAAATATATGTTAAACATTTATATTTTGCAATTTAAAAATAAAGCAAAAACTCCATGTGCATATTAAAAAATCCCTTAACCGTAACTAATATTCGGTGTGTTTCAAACGTTGCCTTAAGCTCTCACATTCTCATGTGATGTCTTACAAGATCCTTGGACGCGTCAGCAAATTGTTCTGGATTCTTCACAATCTTCTGAAACGCGTTACTGGCTGCTGCGTGTCAGCAACCTTCCTTGGTTTGTTGACAAGTTCGCAGGGAACTCTGTGTTCTGTTGATAGCTTTGCACATATTTCCTTACTGCCTGCAAATGAGAAGGCTTCGTTTTCCTGGAGTTTTACTTACACATTTCATTGTTTTTCTAAAGCGTGATGCATTGCCCATCTGTTTTGCAGTTTTAAGGAACATTACAAAAAAATTAATTCTGCATTAGGTTCAGAGATTTTAAGAGCACATTTTTCTGACGTTGTGACTGGAAGTTTTCAGCATATTTTTCAGCCTTGCTTAGTAATGTCTTTCCTCATCAATCCCTCCAACATACACGGTACAAAGCAAGTGTCCAGACAAGCAAGCGGACACGAGGTGTGACAGGACGCACTCTTTAAAGGCGAGGAAGCCGTACTCACCCAAGTCGTACTAACAGACCATACATGTCGGGTCCATTTCTGAAGCCTAGTCTTGCTTTATTAAGCCGTGTCAGTGTGTGGACTGTATCTAGGGGTTCAAGACGTCACACTTGCTGGCATTAATAAAAAAATAACTAGCAAAATAATATCCTTCTGTTCTTTGACTTTGTATGTTACACACACGTAGCGCCAGATTCAATTATTGAAATACAAATGAATTAAAAATTTTGTAGTTATAATATTCACTGAAAAATCTTCAAGTGATTTAGAAAATGCCGTTTTGAGAAGAGCTGAGCGTCATGCGAACGTCTTGCCAGACTCGCTAAACACAGTTCCCACATCAACACACTAGTCACATCTCTTCCCACCCAGTCACTTAGCCCAGAGTCTTCACGCTGTCTATTGCGCTCTTATTAGCAACCTTTAAACACTTTTTCCTCTAATAAAAGTCTCACCTGGCAACACTAGCGTGTCTTGATTCTTAAGAGGATTGTTTAGGTGCGGTGCCCACCCGAGCAGTGAAGGCTCTGCCAACTGTGTGCAACGAAGCACTGAAAACTTGAGTGTTGAGTGATATATGAGTCACCACTCGCTGCCAGCTTGACATCTCACACGTTAACGTGTCCCTCTGATACTAATGAAGACCTTGAGGTCATGTAGTCACCGTATTTCCATAAAATTGCTTCCAGTTCAATATTCCAGTTATCACCTGTTAAGCGGCCAAGGGTCACATATCTTTCCTATTTAACTCTACGGCAGACCAGAACGATCTTCCAACACAATTGTTTAGTCGGGCGTACACACCTGTCCAGTCGGGCCCGCTACAGCGGAGAGGATCCGCTACACCTGAGATCAAACGGAACTGAGCACTGCACATACGAACACACACACCAAGCATCAATTGCTCCTTACACTCTCATGGTCTTGTAATCCAACGAGAGCACTGAGCCATTGGCTTAAGTGGTCATGACTGCTCATCTAAGATCTACAAAACGAGTAAGAGTGCCACTAGAGGACCACCAGAGGCCGACTAAGGTGCTGCAAGACGTCCCTTATTAGTGCTTAATCTAATGGTGCAATTTTAAGTGAGGTTTTCGTAAAGGGGTTCCGCTTCCGGCGGGTTCCTCGGGTGATGGTGATGATGGCCCTGCCGTCTGCCACGCCTCCCGGGCGCCCGGTGTTGTCCTCTGTCCACCGAGAAGTATATTCTAAACCTATCGGTGCGGGATGGGAGAGGAGGCAGACCCCTCTCCTGTGGCGTCGGGGGGCGTCCGCGTCGCATGCCACCAACGTAGTAGACGCTCTCGTAGTCGGAGCCCGGGGAGGAGGTGAGAGGTGGAGCACTGGCGCAGTAGTAGCGGGAGTGGGCCGGAGACATACTTGGGGTGTCATTATCGCTGGGATCCCCGAGGATACCGATGGGAGCCAGGGGCTCTTCCTCGCTGTCCGTGTCCGCTAGGGTAGTGGAGGCCCTCACGCCCCTGGGGTGTGGCGGCCTCAGGAGAGCCCGGCCGTCCTGCCCCGCTGCGTCGCTGGTGCTGTAACTGCACGTCTCGCTTCCTGTGGGGAGGACAAAACTAACCTTACTCGAGGCACACTTTAATGAACACATTACATTATAGCATGAACTACGATTAAAGCTTTATATATATTATTATAAAATAATCCCAGTAATATGGATTTACTAGAAGATCTTAAGTTAGGGTAAGGAATATTAACGGGGCAGAGACGAGGTATCCCCCAGCAAGACGTACCTGAGGAGATGCTTTGGTAGAGGTGCTCTGAAGGAGGGTTACTGCGGGGCTCGGGGGTGTACAGGTGCACGCCCATAGTCATGCCCATCATCTCTTCCCCGTCAATGGGCACCGGCTTGAATCGTGGGCGTGTACGGGCGGGCACGATGGTCGGGGCGGAAGGCAGATCGTCGTAGATAATGGCGCCGCTCAGCTCTGTGCAGCCCTTTGGAGTCCGGCCTCGACCTCTCAGCCTGTGGCGAGAGCATGGGGAGAAGCAGCGTGAGGAGCGAGGCGCAACATGTTATAATACAAACACTTTCATCACATTATAAGATGTTAATTAAGAGTTGGACATATTTATATACAGTGGGGGGGGGGGGTTGCTAGGGGAAGACAATATGCAAGTTGAGTCGTGGGAGCCTCACAAGTCTCCCCCGAAATATATATATATATATATATATATATATATATATATATATATATATATATATATATATATATATATTCAGTTGCATATGTCCTGGGGACCATTCAGGCTTGTTCGCATATATATATATATATATATATATATATATATATATATATATATATATATATATATATATATATATATATATATATATATTATATGAAGAAACGTTCCGCATTAAAAGTTGACTCTATCACTCTATGGACGTTAGACAGACACGTCACTAGTATTTAGCCAGCATGTATTCACCTAGTTGTGCTTGCGGGGGTTGAGCTCTGCTCTTTCGGCCCGCCTCTTAACTGTCAATCAACTGTTACTAACTACTAATTGTTTTGTTTTTTCTCTCTCACACACACCGGAAAGCAGCCCGTAACAGCTGTCTAACTACCAGGTACCTATTTATTGCTAGGTAACAGGGGCATCAGGGAAAGGAACTGAAAGAAACTCTGCACATTGTTACTCGCCGGCGTCGGGAATCGAACCCGGGCCACAGGATTACGTGCCCAGCGTGCTATCCACACATCCACCGGCGCCCAATGCCACATGGTAGGAATTAAACACAGATAATAAGATTTAATAAACATTTACAAGCACTCTTAGAAACCTGTATATCTTGGACTGGCTGGTACAGCGACGGCCTCGCTTCTATAGGCCGGCGTTTTATCCCCCAATGGTCTAAAGTGGTTGGACACCGTTCCTACTCTCCGTCCTATCCCAGATCTAGATCTTCATCCCCTTCCAACTGCTATATAATCGTATTGTCTCAGTGCGCTCTCATTATAATGACTTTACCTGGCTAATTGCGCAAAACCTCTTGTGTTGTCATAGCCAACATGACATCAACCATAGAAGGTCGTGATCAATCTTAAGAACATAAGAACAAAGGTAACTGCAGAAGGTCTGTTGGCCCATACGAGGCAGCTCCTATCTATAACCACCCAATCCCACTCATATACATACATGTCCAACCCACGCTTGAAACAATCGAGGGACTCCACCTCCACCACGATACGCGGTAATTGGTTCCACAAATCAACAATATATACTCTTTAAGTATATATTAAAAGTAAACGGGAGTAACATTACCTCCGTAACAAGTCCTTAAATGACCATTGTTGTTTCTGAAGGAACATTTATTTATCTGTTACATGAATGGGTTTGTATTTCATGAATTTGATATTTCAACCCTGCTGAGAGAAAACGAGGCTTGTCATCAATTACTTCAAATTGCAAATGACACGATGAGCCTCCATCGCAGACAATTCAGAGCTCCTGAAAATGAAATGAGTTTTCAGGCAGTTTAGTTCTCCAAACTAGACAATTGGCTTAATAACTTTAATGCCACTTGCATGAGCACTCACCCACGGACATGAAGCCTATTAACCTCTTCCCGGACAGTAGAGCGACGGCCTCGCTTCATGCAGGTCGGCGTTCAATCCCCGACCGTCCAAGTGGTTGGGCACCATTCCTTCCCCCCGTCCCATCCCAAATTCTTATCCCGACCCCTTTCAAGTGCTATATAGCCGTAATTGCTTGACGCTTTCTCCTGCAAATTCCCTGGGTTCGTACGTTTCTAGCAGGTTAAGTGGTTTGATAATTACGGAGTGGCAAATCAAGAGGGGGGGGGGGGAGAATGGGCTGGTTACTCCGTCCACCTGACTCGGATTGAGCCATTTAGTCGAGGACACAGTATATATAATATATATATATATATATATATATATATATATATATATATATATATTATATATATATGCGAACAAGCCTGAATGGTCCCCAGGACAATATGCAACTGAAAACTCACACCCCAGAAGTGACTCGAACCCATACTCCCAGGAGCAACGCAACTGGTATGTACAAGACTCCTTAATCCACTTGACCATCACGACCGGACAAAATGAGGTGATAGCCGAGGCTATTTGAACCACCCCACCGCCGGCACTCGGATAGTAATCTTGGGCATAGCATTTTACCAAATCACCTCATTCTTTGGGGCACACGTGAGAACACAAATGCGAACAAGCCTGAATGGTCCCCAGGACAATATGCAACTGAAAACTCACACCCCAGAAGTGACTCGAACCCATACTCCCAGGAGCAACGCAACTGGTATGTCATTTTGTCCGGTCGTGATGGTCAAGTGGATTAAGGCGTCTTGTACATACCAGTTGCGTTGCTCCTGGGAGTATGGGTTCGAGTCACTTCTGGGGTGTGAGTTTTCAGTTATATATATATATATATATATATATATATATATATATATATATATATATATATATATAATATACACTGAGAGGTGTTCGCACAACACTACTGGGTTGTATACACAGTTTATTTCAATCGTGGACTATGTTAAGAACTAAATTACACTTGCTGGTTGGTCAGTAAGCTAGTGTGACGGCCTTAATATCCCTCGTGCCGTCAGGTCCAACACCAATCTAAACCGAGGCGAGTAGTGTGTTGAACAACGCTATGCGTGTTCACTCCTGTTTACTTAACGCCGGAATTAATGACTCCAGCGAAGTTACGAGTCCCTTCGTCATGTTCAAATACAAAGCAAATGATTACGGATTTTGTGTTCATGATTGCAGAGTTCCCCATGTTGAGTAACCTGAGTGGATGGTACTCAGCATGTTGAGTAAGCACCATACTCGATACATGAGTTGTGTTGCTAAGTAGCTATTTAAGGCACAATTAAACAAAAATTTTAATACATTGAGAACTTTGTACAGGACTTTGTATGCTTCCTAGTTGGTCCGTATACATTTATGATGCCCATAATAAACCTCCTGAGATTGGAGGGCCTTCAGCCCATCACCAAACTGGCAAACAACTACTCTGAAAGCATCAGTTTCCTGGCAAAATTCGCCCGTTCACCCAGCTGTAAGTCTCGGGTTCGTATCTCAGCCGCGGGCACAAACAATTTGAATTATAAAAAGCACAAACAGCATGGCAAAACGGAGCCCCCAGTGTTAGCGCGCCACAAAGCGGTAATGCCCACCTGCTTGATGAGGTTCTGGGAGTTCTTCTACTCCCCAAGCCCGGCCTTGACTTGGGGGAGTTTGGTCCACCAGGCTGTTGCTTGGTGCGGCCCGCAGGCCCCACATACCCACCACAGCTCGGTTGGTCCGGCACGTTTTTTAGAAAACAGTCTAGTTTTCTCTAGAAGATGTCCACGGTTGTTCCGGCAATATTTCTTATACTCACTGGGAGGACGTCGAACAACCGCCCGTGGATCTTACTAGACGCGACACCACCAGTCCCGAGATTATCACAAGGCTGTATCGCTAATATCCTCACGGCCAGCACGCAGTGCAGTTACGTAACCTGAGACCTTGTGGTTAATGCCGGGTCCAGCCGGGGTGTGAGGGACGGCCTGTGCGTGAGGGCACGTGGGCGCCGGACAACCAATATTGGCAACCGGTTGAGAACACGCTTATGGTTGTCCTGAATCTGGGGCTCGAATTTTCCAGCCACATGTCATATTTGTCTGATGTATGGCATTATATAGGACTGTGATCCAGTTAGATGTTAAGTAGCAGGTCTGTGGTAAGTCACCCCCTGAGTGGATGGGTGTGGTAAGTCACTCTGGTTGGTAGCTCACACACACATCCCCCGTCACCCCCAACCCCTTACCCCACACATACAGAACTCCCCCCCCCCCCACACGAACAACTCCCCCCCTCTCCCACACACACCCCCCACCATGCTTCTGATTATTGGTGTGTATGAGAAACTGGACATAATATACCTTGTGAACTCACAGCTGGATAGCAGATATATTAGACGGAAAATCCCTAAATCTTAAATTAATCAACGTAAAAAATTTGAGGGTAATATAGTCTACGTGTGCGTGCAGCAGCAAGTACATGCGTGCGTGGAGCGGCAAGTGCGTGCGTGAGGTAGTAAGAGTGTGTGTGCTTGAAGCCTCAGCAGCAGCAAGTTGCGGCAGTAAGCCTAGCGTGAGCGGTGATGGCGGGTAGGAATGTCAACACACTCGGAGTGCGCCAACACTCGCCTCCCTCGGCTCACCTGTTCTCCCCTCACCTGTTCCACGGCTGTTGTTGTTTTAGATTCAGCTACTTGGAACAAAAAGTTCCAAGTAGCATGGGCTATGGCGAGCCCGTAGTGGCTGTAACTGTGTTAAGCCTACAATCTTCAGGAATTAAAATACTTGATTTATTTAGTCTTTTCGACTTGCCTACATCTATGGTTTATTTAACTGCCCTATTTCTAGCTTGGATTATCTTACTTGTTCAGTCTCTGCCTCTGCATGAGAGATATCAGGATTTTTGGGATTGGAGATTCAGACATATCCCAGTGTGGGACCCTGAGCCTCTGGCTCTTCTACTGTGTTGCTGCTTTCAGAAAGTTCACCAGTTCTCAACACAATGGGTCTCTGGCCTCTTCCCGAGCTGCTCTGGCCTCCTCCTGGGCGGCTCTGGCCTCCTGGGCGGCTCTGGCCTCCTCCCACCCAGCTCTGGCCTCCTTCCGGACGGCTCTGGCCTCCTCCCACCCAGCTCTGGCCTCCTTCCGGACGGCTCTGGCCTCCTGGGCGGGCGGGCGGCAGTGCCCTCACTCAGCCACGGGATGTAACTGCCAGACACAACTGTCAGGCAGATCGCGCCCTATTACCACTCAGAATTGGCGCCATGGCCCAAGTTTGTACATCCCAGGGCGCATAATGTGCATGAAGCTGCCGCGCTACTTCATGAACTGAGCTAGTCGTGTGTGTGGGGGGGGGGAGGTGGTGGAGAGCACGGAGTGGGGAAGGCCCAGGACATGGAAGAGAAACGGGAAATGAAGGAGATATAGGAAACACAAGAGAAACAGGAAGTGAAGGTGAGACTAGAGGTGGAGGGGAAACAAGAAGTGGAAGGGGTAAAAGGACGTCCAGTTGAGAGAAGAGAAACGATGGAGAATACAGAATGGAGAGAGACTTTAAGGGAGAAGAAAAACTGAGTGAAAGCGAAAGGTTGAATCAGACAAGGAGGGGGATAAAGGCAGTGTGAGGCATAGCAAAAAGCTATAGGTAAACTTGGGAAGAGGTAAGTGAGAGAGAAGGGCACAGGGAGGGAGGTGAAGAGAGAAAGGCACAGGGAAATAACTCCACATGAAACCAGGAGGCTGTGCAAAACAGCCCCCATTGAAAATAGCCCCATTGCAGAGGTGCAATAGGCACACTGAGAGAACTCTATTCACGTCAAGGGTGCAAGACTTTTCAACGCTCTCCCTCTACACATAAGGGTGTAACGGAAGAAGGGTAACACCGATATTCACACACCGATGGAGACTTTTGTCTTAGCAAAATGCCTCACAACCACCTTAATACACGGGAAGCTGAAGCTTATGACCCCACTAAGGCGAGCCATCCTGTGTGTACACAGGTGAGGATGACCCAAGTTGAGTCGTGAAGGGTGGCCTGAGAGGCAACTCTTCAGGGGCCAGATTCACGAAGCAGTTACTCAAGTACTTACGAACGTGTACAACTTTCTTCAATCGGCTTTGGTTACATTTAATAAACAGTTTACAAGCATGAAAACTTGCCAATTGACTGTTGTTATTGTTATAAACAGCCTCCTGGTGCTTCGGAGCTCATTAACTGTTTAATAATTATAAACAAAGCCGCCAAAGATTGAGAAAAGATGTACAGGTTCGTAAGTGTTTGCGTAACTGCTTCGTGAATCTAGCCCCAGGACTCAACCTTCTCTGAAGCCTTCTTTGGGTTTTCTGGGGTTATGTTAGCCAGAAGTTGTGCGAGGGAGCAAAGCTATTGCTGACAGGATCAAAACTGAACCAGAGAGGTGAGGTAGTGCATCGTGTACCCACCTCTGATACCCAAGAGGTTTGGTGGGCTAATCCCCTTCCGATAAGTAGCAAATTTCATGTTTAAACTCTCGTGGAAGACCTCATAACCCCGGGGTGGGAGGGAGAACGTAGGGGACGAGAGCCGAGGAAGATGGATTTTTAGTTAGTGTGAGCTGGGTCCTTAAGTTGGACTGGTGCGCTGGGGCTTGGTGGTCACTGCAGGGAAGGTTATCTTGAGGTTATTTTGAGATGATTTCGGGGCCTGTCCCCGCGGCCCTATCCTCGAGCAAGCCTCCACCCCCAGGAAGCAGCCTGTAGCAGCTGTCTAACCCCAGATTTATTGCTAGGTAAAAGGGGCATCAGGGTGAAAGAAACATTTTGCCCATTTGTCTCCGCCTCCACCGGGGATCGAACCCGGAACCTCAGGACTACGAATCTGAAGCGTTGTCCACCCAGCTGTCAGGCGTCAGCTAGGTGATTTAACCTTCATCAATCATCTGGTGACTCCCATGGATTTTCTTACATTTGTATATTGATTGAGTACTTGTTCCCATATTCTAACATCACAAGCATCGACCATTCTATATGCCTTATTAGGGATTAGGTACCATAGGATTTCAGTCGTAAAAAATATGTATAAACTTAATTGTAAGCCTTAGTCTCAGTACTCTCCTGTCTATCATCATAAGAAGCTGCTAGGTTCAAGTATTCTTGGGGGCACCTCCCTCAGTGTGTTGACGATTCAGTTAAATTTTAAATGAATGTAGTGGAAGCGTGTTGAACAGTCTCGGGCCCCTTGATGTTGATAGAGTTCTCTCCCAGAGTACCTATAGCACCTCTTTTTTTTCAACGGGGGTATTCTGCACATCCTGCCATGCCTCCAGGTCTCATGTGATGTTATTTCTGTGCGCAGGTTTGGAACCATTCCCTCTATATACAGGGAATAGGAGAGAAATATAGTTGATATATGGAATAATGTTCGCTGGACTGTTTCAAGCAGAGGTTAAACGTGTATATAAATGAGTTTCGGTAAATATAAACAGGAGCTGCCTTGCATGGTCCAATAGAGGAAGCATGTAAGGTGGACAGGGGACAGGAAGCGTGAGGGGAGGTCACAGAGACACAAGGACACCAACGTGAGGGGGGAGAGTGACAAGTTATGATAGACGATATAAACTTAGACGAGATTTAAATAAGATTTGTACTTTCGTCTCCGAGGAGGCAATGACTAAGTTTGTTCCCGAACTGTGGCCAGGGGCTTGTAAAGTTTATAAGGTGGGCGTGGGTTTATAAGGAAGTGGTAACGTAGATGGCGCTATTGGAACAGGAAGTGACGTAGATGGCGCTATTGGAACAGGAAGTGACGTAGATGGCACTATTGGAACAGAAAGTGACGTAGATGGCGCTATTGGAACAGGAAGTGACGTAGATTGCGCTATTGGAACAAGAAGTGACGTAGATGGCGCTATTGGAACAGGAAGTGACGTAGATGGCGCTATTGGAACAGGAAGTGACGTAGATGGCGCTATTGGAACAGGAAGTGACGTAGATGGCGGTAGTAAAGCAGAAAGTGATGTAGAGGAGGTTAGTGAGAGGGAGTGATGTAGGTGGCGGTAAAGAGGCAGGCAGCAGCAGCAGTACAGACGGCAGCGGGACTCACCTGCAGACAATGATGGCAGCTACGAGGACCAGGACGACCAGTGTGGCGGCCGAGACAATAACAACAGCCATGGGGGCCCTGCCAGCGGTGGGCCTCTGGTCCTCGCGGGCCCCCAGCAGGCTAGGGCAGGTGAAGGGGCCCTCGCAGTCGCCCAGGTCTTCGTTGGGGGCGTCAGGGGGTGGCGGGGGCCGCGGCGGAGGAGGCAGCATGAAGGTGGGGGGCGATGGCCCCCCACACTCACAGTCAGTAAGGTCTCCCCACTCGGAGTCGCCCCAAGTGGTCCCAGCCATGCCCGCCACCTGTGGGAGGAAAGAGTATTTACATTTTATGCACCTCGCCTCAAGTATTCTGCTAAGCATTTTATGATTACGGATTTATACTCAATTATCAGTCGGACGTTGACAGTGTATAACTATACATGTTGACCAGACCACACACTAGGAAGTGAAGGGACGACGACGTTTCTGTCCGTCCTGGACCATTCTCAAGTCGATTATGTGGTTTGGACAACATACTTCAGCCACGTTATTTTGACTCCTCGTCTGCATATGACTATACAGCATCTGCTTATGTGTAGTGGTGTGATTATTTTGCATTTTTGCACATGTTTCCTCTTCTTGTTCTCTCCTGTCATATGTAACACCTCTAGCCTCTCCTCGTAACTGTTGTTTTTTTCAGTTTCGGAAGTCATGTAATTGCATGTCTTCACCGGATTAATGAAACCTAATGGATTACCTGTAAATTCATCGTTCTGAAGATGTATTATTAAATACGAAAGTACTTAAGGAAATTCCTGTCTTAATCCTTCCTCCGTGGTCCATATATATATATATATATATATATATATATATATATATATATATATATATATCAAACGTATATAATATTATAAACCTTTAAAATTCGAATCCCTCTGAATAAAGGAATCTTTTTCTGTCAGATCGCTCTGCAAAATTCACACTGAAGCCGGATTCACGTAAACGTTCGCCGTGAAATTCGTATCAACAGCTTAAAAAAAATTCAACCTGATCATATTTTCACTATTCTTGTCCTTTAGCATAGTGCATTCTGTTAACAAAAATATTTAGAAATGTTTTTCTGAACTTGGATTGCACTGTAACTGGTTCAATACAGTTCGTGAGTAATGGTAGGAGGGTGGCCGAGTGCTACCAGAACTGTACACGTCTGTACCCTGTTGTCTCGTCCTCTGTACTCCCGCTCTTTATTCCTAGAGTTTTATGGCTAGAACCGGTAGGCAGAAGAACATAAGAATAAGAATAAATACCACAGAAAGCCTTTTGGCTCATGCGAGGCCGCTCCACTTTATATCCGTCCACACTCATGTGTCTAACCTACGCTTGAAACACTCCAGTGATCCTATATACTGATGTATAATTATGATCAGGGTTGTGAAGTGAGGATGGTGACAACATATATCAGTCTGATAAGTCTGCTGTTGGTACTTGGGCTCTTTGACTATAACCGAACAGGAAAAAAACAGTTCTAGTAACAATAATTGAGAATAATTATCAAGGGTTTAAAGTTCAACAAGCTTGCTCAAGAAGTATACAAGTTCTGCGCTCTTGTCAGGCACAATACAAATGCTCTTCATTGTTAATATATTGTGTTATTTATGCAAATATGTTCAGTAATTTGTAAATCTCCCGAACATATGGTAAGTGTCTCTCCCCCTTATGACGAAGGTTTAAATTAGTTATACAAACAACCTAGTTACTATTCGAACCTTTTCAACAGCAACATTTTTAATAATTACGTAAATATATTTCTGAGATGGGAAATGCGAAGGGTTCTGGTGAGAAAATGGGCAGAAAGGGATTTTATGAATAGGAAGCAGGAAGTTGTAGAGAGTGATTTTAGAAGATGGCAGGAGGTGAAAATAAAGGAGTGTAGTGAGAGGAGAGGTATGCCGAATGAGAGAGCAGTGGAGGGAGGTGTGCTGGGTGAGAGAGGTGTGCCGAATGAGAGAGGAGGGAGGAGGTGTGCTGGGTGAGAGAGCAGTAGAGGGAGAGAGAGAGAGAGGAGGGAGAAGGTGTGCTGCGTGAGAGAGCAGTGGGAAGGGTGGACGGTGAGAGGGGGGCCACTAAATGATTGTGTTACATCTAACAGCTGGGACTGGTGCAGCGCTGAGGTAGGTATGGGGCGAGTCTCAGCCCCCACCAGCTATCCTGCAGAGGCATAGTGCCTCTTTGTTGTTAGTTAGTATCTCTTACTAACACACAAGCCATCATGTGTGTTAGTAAGCCAACACACATGATGGTTTGTTGACATGAACATAATGCCTGTAACGTAACATAACAGATGTATTTAGCTAATATAAATTGATATATGTTGTCAAGTAGCAGACATGACGGCTCTTGTCAGGTAATAGACACGAGGCTCTTGTCAGGTAATAGACACGAGGCTCTTGTCAGGTAATAGACACGAGGCTCTTGTCAGGTAATAGACACGAGGCTCTTGTCAGGTAATAGACACGAGGCTCTTGTCAGGTAATAGACACGAGGCTCTTGTCAGGTAATAGACACGAGGCTCTTGTCAGGTAATAGACACGAGGCTCTTGTCAGGTAATAGACACGAGGCTCTTGTCAGGTAATAGACACGAGGCTCTTGTTAGGTAATAGACACGAGGCTCTTGTCAGGTAATAGACACAAGGCTCTTGTCAGGTAGGTTGAAGTTGCCGGTCTAAAGCCACTTAAAACTTGTTCGTAGGTCACGGCTGTTGGCAAGCCACGACGGGTGTTGGCAAGCCATGACGGGTGTTGACAGGCTATGGCAGGTGTTGCCAGGCCACAGACAACGACGGCAACAAGCATGATAATTACAACGTGATAAAATTAAAAATCAAAACAAATGTTCCCATGGCTCGCTGACCGAGACTTGCATCCCAACATTCCAGTAGAGTACCTCCCCCCCCCGCTCTTGCCTCGGGTGTCGGATTACTCTTTAAGCCTATACATTAAAACTAAAAACATAGAGATTGATTGTCAAATACAGATGAGAGATTCATTGACACGGATTGTTAAACTTTGTGTGCGTCTGTATTTACTATTTGTGCCTGAAGGATCGATCTGTTAGCTCTTGGACCCCGGCTTTCTAACCGTCCTTCGTCTAATGTACTGACTTCAGACCTATTTTCTATATATCTACTGCATGTAGTTCACACACACACACACACACACAACTGGCAGGCGATCAGAGGCACTCTTGCCTCTGGAGTGGAGGGATACTCCATACACAGTTTCAAATGTAGATATGATAGAGCCCAGTAGGCTCAGGAATCTGTACACCAGTTGAGAGGCGGGACCAAAGAGTCAGAGCTCAACCCCCCGCAAGCACAACCAAGCGAGTACAATCTATACAGAAACAAACGCCTATAAGCAGACACAAGGCACGAACCAGAGTCGTTGAATTCACATTCACATTATGCTAATGACCCAATTATCTGCACCAAACTGCTACAGCCTCCAAACGACGTAATGGAAACGTTGATTACCAAGTTTGTGGACCAGTGACGCGAACCTCCCGGTGCTCGGATAAGTATGACACTACCATATTGGCGGAACAAAACTGGACGAGTTCAAGAAACAATTAGAAAAGTTCCTGCAAGAAGTGCCGGGCCAACCAGGCTGTATTGGATGTTTGTGGGCCTGCGGGCCGCTGCAAGCAACAGCCTATTAGTCAAACCAATTAATCACAAGATAGGCCTGGCCCCATGCCTTGGTATAGACCGCATCGTCGAAATTCCGGTGCTTTAGTGACATTAAAAGACTCGTAATATTGACAAGTCCTTGGTTTAATATGAATCGACTTCAATAAGTTAACCAGAAGCTTTTGAACTTAAGCTAAGTAAAACCATTTCAAATATGACGCGTGTCCGATCATAAAGCGACGTTGCCGTTGTAAAAGAAATCATGCATCCATTTCAAGTTTATTAGCCTCAATAAAAAACTCTTTTTCTCAAGATACCGACAGGAGATCCAGCCCACTAATGATAGGGTGAATAGGATAATAAATACACCCACATAAAATAGAACACGATACAATTGATATAGGAAAGACCTGGGTAAATACTGGTTTGGAAACAGGGTTGTAGATTTATGAAACAAATTACCGGGTAATATCATAGACGCCCTGATCACTGGAGCCATGAAAGAGGTTAGACATATACAGTATTGAGTGTAGATAGATATAAATATAAAACTAACTCTCATGGGCTAATATAAGCCTGCTGAAGTTTCATCTGTGCTTGTAGTCCTATATTTTTAAGATTAAGAAAATAGGATATAATATAGAAGAACAATATGCATAAATATATTTTTATTTTTGCAAAAAATATGGTTCGAATTGTAATTGTTACATGACAAAAACAGCACTATGTTAAAAGCAAAAATATAAAATTATATATCACGAATTTTCTAGCGTTCCATGTTAAGTGCAAGCCAACACAATTACAAGTACCCTGGAAACACAAACCGAACCTGTCTCTATTTTCCGCTTGTTACAACTTGTAATAAAGTTGTTACATCTTGGCTTAACGTGTTTATGACGTATTAGAACCTTGTTACAACTTGCTATATTGGTAGTTATAACTGATTAGGTGGTGTTAAGACTTGTTCGAACGTTGTACCAACGTTGTAGTTTCGGTGTGTGTTTGGTGGATAATAAGTCAGTCGATGCCAAAATCATCAGAAATTTGAAAGCATCGATAAGTGATACACACTTATCGACTGACGAGATAAGACAGTAGTCTAAGTCCAGCCCAGTTTCTGATCTACGAACAGTGCAATTTTATCCCGAAATTGTTCAAGGATAAAGCAACATCTCGGTGTATTACCTACTGAGAAGCAGGAGTATACTTGTGTATACCACTCGAATTCTCAAATCCAAAAAAATCTGAAAGGTTACCTTGAGGTGCTTCCGGGGCTTAGCGTCCCCGCGACCCGGTCGTCGACCAGGCCGACGGGGCCTGGTATACACAGTTGCTGCGGATGTTAAATTGATGTCCACTGTTAATGATAAACGATCAGTCGGTAGTTAACAATCTAGAGAGACCACAAAACAACTCATGTCTCTATCATTTATATTTTAACTACAAAAAAATACTTCAAACTATTTGTGGGGGCACTCTAATTACGTTAACGGCGCAACGAGTTTCTAATTGGTGGAAAAAGACCAATTTAGCGAGGCAGAGCAGGAGAGGGGATGGGGATACAAAGAGGGAAGTAAACGAGAAGAGACAGGGAAAATGGAAAGAGAGCTGCGTGACAAATGGGCTGCGCT